TTCGCGAGAGCGTAATTCCGTCAGTTTTCCATCAAATTTTGATCTTTTGGTGTCATTACAATCTGGAAAAGATTCCCTATCATTTCATAAGAAAAAATAATTTTTTTTTTTATTGAAATTTTGCCACACCAGGAGACACCTCAGGATTGGGGGTTGCGACAGTCAAGGGGTTAAAGTGCAGGTATTGTACAGTGGACCCCTGAGTTTCGTGATTAATCTGTTCCAGAGAGCCTGCCAAAAGTCAAAATTCACGAAACTCTAAACCATTTTCCCCATAAGAAATAATGGAAATAAAATTAATCCGTTCCAGACGCCCAAAAATATTAAATTAAAATATTTTTTCAATTTAAATAAAGATTTACATACTGAAAACAATGAGAAATCAAGTACATGCATATAAAAAATAATAATATTACACTTACCTTTACTGAAGACCTCTGGGTGGATGGAAGATGGGAGGAGGGGATAGGAGGAAGGTGTACACTATTGTTTGGAAGGAGAATCTCCTTCCATTAGGACTTCAAGTATAAAGTCCTTATCTGGGGTTACTTCCCTTCTTTGTTTTTTAAAGACACTGGCACTGGGAACAACTTGAATCACTGGAACCCTGTCGCACAAAATATCTGTCCAGAGAGCTCTTTCTGGCATTTCTTTAAGATTTGTCTGAAGTGGGAAACAACACTGTCATTGTACGTGTTGCCAATACGGCCTTTAAGAGCTTTGTTAGGGTGAAGTTCAGCCATAAATGTTTGCACTTCAGTCCACTTTGCACATATGTCCTTAATCTTTGTGACAACAGCACACTTTATATCCTTTCCTTTCGCCACGATCGAAGTGATGGTTGAATGGGGTTTGCCATACATCCTGGCAAGCTCTGTAACATGCACTCCACTCTCGTATTTTTTCAATGATTTCCTTCTTGAATTTGATCGTGTTCCTCACTTTCTTTACCAAAGGGCTTGCACTAGCTTTCCTTGGGCCCATGGTGACTTATTTAGCAGTTGCAATCACAAAAAACAATGGATTATTATGTATGAACCCATGGGGTGATGGTCACGTATTGGTAAACAATGGCACACTGAGCGTGAATGGCGTGGGAGACTGGCTTTGTGTGCACGGTGACAGGCGGACTTGTGCTGGACGGTCGCTGAATCACAAGTCTAATCACGGAACGCGAGGCCAAATTTTGCCGAAAAAACTTGCCGAAAGTCGGATTTCACAAAAGTCGATGCCGCCGAAACACGGGGGTCCATTGTACTTCCCATTTCCAGGACTCGAGTCCGGCTAACTGGTTTCCCTGAATCCCTGCTCACTCCAACAGCTCATCAGTTCCCCAAAACCATTCATCTCCATTCACTCCTATGTAACACACGCACGCTTGCTGGAAGTCCAAGCCTCTCTCCCACAAAACCACCTTACCCCCTCCCTCCAACCTTTTCAGGGTTGATCCCCTACCCTGCCTTCCATCCCCTACAGATTTATATGCTCTCCAAGTCATTCTACTTTGTTCCATTCTCTCTAAATGTCCAAACCACCTCAACAGTGATTTATATTATTACAGTATACACCTACCATCCAACTTACGACCTTCTCGACATACGACCACTCGACTTATGACCGTGTTTTTTATGCCAAATTTCTGGGAAATAACCAACTGTTTGTGTTGTACACAGTGTTTATCCTAAACCTTACAGTATAAGATGCAGTACTAACAGCATAAAAAGTAAAGTAAAAAATGGAATACCAAAATAAAACAATAAAATAGTCATTTCAAAAATGTGATGTTGATATTCACTAGTAAAGTTCGACTTACGTCCATTTTGACTTACGACCAGTTGGTCGGAACCAAGCTCGGTCATAAGTCGGATGGTAGGTGTATTTTGTTATTATTAGCACATCGGCCGATTCCCACCAAGGCAGGGTGGCCCGAAAAAGAAAAACTTTCATCATCATTCACTCCATCACTGTCTTGCCAGAGGGGTGCTTTACACTACAGTTATAAAACTGCAACATTAACCCTTAAACGGTCCAAATAGATAGACGTTCAAATCCGTAGTGCTCCAAAAGTAGATCCGTTTTTTTTTTTTTTTACATATTTTCAAATATAACAAAAAAAAATGTACATTTTTTTACATACTTTCAAATGTTGAAAAAACGTATATATACATTTGGACCATTTAAGGGTTAACACCCAGGCCAGACTCAAGTCTGGGCTGCCAGTTTCCCTGCATCCCTTCATAAACGTTACTTTGCTCACTTTGATTTATATATTATAAAATATTGTTAGGCAAAAAGAAAGCTAATAACATGCCTGAGCATTTTGGGCAGACTAATAGTAATGCTTACACAATACTTAAAACTAGACATAGATAATGGAGTGGCAAATTTTAATTGTTCATCTTACATTATTACAGTAGAGAAGTAGCCAAAACTTTTATAATTGATAAGATTTATAGTAGAGGGATAGCAAAGAACAAATAACAGTATTACAATTAGTGCATTTTGCTGTGTTACGACAGTACAATTTTTAAGCATGTATTAATATTTTAGATTGATGTGGCAGTCCTAAGTTTTTTGGGATTTCGTGAGTAGTTTCAAACTGGTTAAATGATTTAGTATAGTGTTAGTATAGTTAAGTTTGGGAGATGAGGTTTTTTTAATTATAGCCCTAAATTGATTGACAGACATGGGATCTTTAGTTTGTTCAGGCAGTAAATTCCAGATCGTAGGGCCCTTTATGTGCATTGTATTTTTGCATAGGATGAGACAGACACAAGGGATACCAAAGAGAGTTTAATATGTTAGAGAGTTGCTGTCCACTTAGATTTGCAGAACAAAAGTCCTCACACCCATGCAGTGATAATTCGTCAATTATTAGTGTAGAGGATTATGAATTGTCAAGGAAAATATTTTAGTATATTTGTTAAACACATGGACCATCTTCCACTGAGCTAGAGTCCCCTGAAAAAGAGAGAAAAGCTCACTATCGCTGTCTTGACAGAGGCATGCCAATACTGCAGTTCAGATGCCCCTGCAAGTTGTAAATATCCCAACTACTTCAGAGTGCAGGCACTGTATTTCCTACCTCCACGACTCAAAATAACAGGACAACTACATAACTCCTCTACCTAAAGATGCAGTTTCAGAGAAAGTTTACATTCGGTTCCCAAATACAAAAGTAGGCAGAAACAAGATATGGGGTGACTTAAAGTGGCATTTAGGAATATACTCTACACTCGTAATACAGCCTTTCCTCACTTAGCAACATACTCGTTTACCGACGACTCAAATTTCTGCTTCAGGTACATGAAGACTTCCCGAATTTTGTATAGGTCATTTATGTTGGGCCTATTCCTGTCTGAGAAATGCAATGTTCATAGCAACAGAGTGAATCTGTTGCAGGGAAGGAAGTCACTGAAGACAGGAGTACTGATGAAGTAATCTGTGGACCAATACTGTGCTATATTGTGCTTGTACATATGAGGCGTAAGCACGACAGTACCAAGGAATAAACACATTTTGGCCAGAGTTGTATCTTTCCATCTTCACAGCCATGACGATTCTGCAACCTCTGCAGTTGTAGTTGTTCATCTGGGTGATAGAGTATAACTGGGAAAAATCTAACTCTGTAGACTCATTTGTGATGGGACATTCTGAGAGGATGTCACTTCCACTGGCATCAAAATCAAAAGGATGTGGCACAAATGTTGTACGTTGTGTCCAGTTCCATTCATGATCAGTTAGTGCTGGGTGGACCTGTGGCATGGGGTGTGGGGGAACAGCAGGAGGAGGGATTGGAGTGGAGGCAGCACATGGTTGAAGGAGTGCTGGGCTATCCTTTGTCTGCCCGCCCACCGTGCCATGCGGCCCAGGCACCATGCTTCCCACCACCACCACTTCTTCCTCCATCCCCGCATATTCTCCTTCATGATCAGTATCACTATCAGTGGCTGGGGGTTTTTGATCGTGACCTCCCACGACCCTTGGGGACTGCACATGGCACACTGCCTGAATGTAGGTGACAACACCTAAAGGTACGCTTCACTGGGGAATAATGTATATCACTATCACTCGAAAAATTCTCTAAGGGCATAAAATCAGTCTCATTGTCACTTATATCACTTTCATTATCGTCATCACCAAAACTGACAGAAAATGATAATTTCTGCATTTTAGTTGCTTCTGAGTAGTAACACTGGCCACCCCCAGAGGTGCTTGGCCGACAGTCTGGTGTGGCCACACTGGCCACCTGAGAGGTGCTTGGCTGAGGGTCTGGCATGGCTACATTGGCCACCCCAGAGGTTATGGGCTGAGGGTCATCTGGGTTATTGTCAATATTTTCACTAATTCCTTGATCATTAGTGGGCCACATCGGTCTCAAATCCACTAAACTCGTGTTCTATCACTTTACTCAAATAAGTGTTAATACAATGAGGTGTGAGTGAATCGTGGGGATTTGCCATGATGTTGATCCAAGATGGAGCTGAAACTAACTAGTGCTACCATGCGGTACTGCAGGGTCCTCAATTTTTTTCATACGGCACACCGAATGCGCAGACCCATTCTCTCGTGTCTTGGCCGGTCAGACCTATTGCGCCTAATTTGAAGGCAGGAAAAATTAAACATTGATCCACAATCAAAGAGCTAGCAGTAACAATGTAGATCTACATTTGGACAGTTAAAGGGTTAAAACTTAATGTTATGCATGGGTGAAGCAACCTGTGTGCAGCCAATATGGCTGTTGTGAATTATGAGAGCTGACATAATTGTTATACTGTTCTTTAATTCTTAGCTGAGACAAATTAAAACAGAGGCTGTTGCTTAAATGACATTGGGAAACCATGAGAGAGATGATGTAATGGAGGAATTTTCATAGGCAAATGAGTTTCCAGACAAGGCACCTGTCATGATTCAAGAAATGGGTCTTGGTAAAAATAATTTATGCTTATTTTGCAGATATGTTTTGACGGCTAATTATTCTGTATCTTGTTATATTTCAGGATCGGTACAAGAATGATCTTAATTTGGCCATCCAACTTCTTCAGTGTAATCCATCCAAGTATGCTTCTCACAAACTGGACTCCGTAAGTACTGTACTATACTGCACAGAATGCTGTTGCCTTGATATAATGTATTACTGTAGTGAGAGTAGGCAGTCCAAAGTGTTACCTTTACAGGAGGCCCTCCACATTCGCAAGGGTTAGAGGATCAAGAACCTCGCGATTCTTGAAAATTTGCAAATGTTTGGTGTGCAAATATGATGTAGGGAAATATAATAATGCTGTACTGTAGTGTTCGCGAATGTTTTGATGTGTAAATATTTTTTTTTTCTTAAAAGTCGGCCATGTCCCACCTAGGCAGGGTGACCGTAAAAGAAAGAAAAAATCCCCAAAATGAAAATGCTTTAACCCTTTCAGGGTCAAAACTGTAGATCTACGCCATGAGCTCAGCTCACTCTGATAAGCTGTGAGCAGTAAATTTTGGCCTAGATATGAGAGAATACATCTGTGGTATGTGTGCACTACATAAAACAAATCCTGCAGCACACAGTGCATAATGAGAAAGAAAAACTGAGACCGTAATTTTCGATTAAAACAGTGACTTTGCAGTGTTTTTCGTATGTTTTTTATAGTTGTATTTGCAATTTCTTGGTCTCATTTGATAGAATAGAAGATATCCTACAGAAATAGAGATGATTTTGATTGGTTTTATTACTGGAAATGGCTTGAAACTGAGCTCAAAGTAGCAGAAATGTTAAATTTTTGCCCATGTTCAAGAGTAAACAAATGACCTCACAAGTCTAATACATGACAGCTGGTGGATCTAATATACATTCACAAATGTGGTGATATTATTTATACAATTATTACAGTATTGCATAACAGTAAATCTTCTATATTTTGGTTTGAATAAAAATTCATTATATGAATAAAAAATCAAAATGGAATTCACTTGTAAAGCCTCAAAACGTAACTAATGAACAGAGGAAATGTTAGTTTAGTGCCAGGAATGCCTGCATTGTTTATTCTGGACTCTGTTTTGAAATGGGAATATTTTGAACTTTGCATTAAATTGGCCAAATTACAAATTTCCGGTCACTTTATTTTGTCGTTGAAACGGTTGACTTGGCGATTTCTTGTGCTCAATCAATAGAATAGAAGTAATACTAGTGAAATAGCTAAGAATTTGGTTGACTGGAATATGATAATTGGCCTTAAATGGGAGTCAAAGTCGGTAAAATCGCCGATGCGTAAATATCACTGACACATCAAAATTCACATGAGCATAATTTTGTCAATTTTCCATCAAATTTTGTACTTTTTGTTTTATTACCTTTAGAAAAAGATTCTCTACCATTTCATAAAAGATAACAGTTATTTTTTGAAAATTCTTGGACCCTGGTGCACACTTTGAAATTTGGCCTCAGGACCCTGAAAGGGTTAATCATTCAACACTTTCACCTCGCTCGTACATAATCAGTTTTTGCAGAGGCGCCCAGATACAACATCTTAGAAGCATATACAGTGGACCCCTGACTTACGATGTCCTCAACCTATGTTAAAACCGACCTACGATGCTTGTCAGCATAAAAATTTGACCCCGACATACGTTGAAAAACTCGACTTGCATCATTCGTCCCATAGCGTCCACGCGTCTGTCTGGCCTGAGTGCCTCAGCTGAGCTAGTGTGACGTTTACAAGCCGGGGTGGACACGGTTGCACGCGTACATTCGATAAATTCTGTATTATTCCAGTGTTTTTAGTGCTTGTAACTGCTAAATAAGCCACCATGGGCCCAAAGAAAGCTTCTAGTGCCAACCCTGTGGTAAAAAGGGTGAGAAATACTATCAAAATACTATTGTACCACGGTCAGCTGCTGCTGCACCACGGTCAGCTGTACTACTCGAAGATGTGGAGAGACTGTTATTGGTGTGGCTTATCGAGAATACCGAGAAACGATTAACCCCAGAGGGTTAGCCACCCAGGCCTCTTCAAGGGGGGCTCCTTGGCGTGGTGAAGAGGCTCTTGGTCTGAGGAATTAGACCTGTCAGTCTACTTCCTCAGACCGAACCTAATTACCCCCCAATCCCCCATTCCCTATCCCATCCTCCCCTTTTTCCTTTCCTCCTCCTCCTCCCCACCCCTCCCTTTTGCCCTTCCTTTTTGGCCTTTTTTTTTTTTTTTTTTTTTTTTTTTTCCTTCCACAGGCACACTAGTTCCTAGGTAGGGGAAAGGGTACCGGGGTCCATCCCATTCCGTTGAGGTTCTTGGCGGTGGCGTAGTTTGCCGTGGAATCTGGATTGCCTGGGGATGTCCTGATCCCTCTCCGGTATCCCGGAGGGTGGCTTTAGGTGTCTCTCGGGCGACGGATATATCTCTGGAAGCCACCTTTCGGATTCCGGGGGTGGTGGCCGAAGGAGGTATGCTTTGTGGCGGATTTCCGGCCGCCCTCTCTTTTGTCCACCGAGGTAGCTCAGCAGATGTGAGGTTGCTATCCCGGATTGCTGGTTTACTGGCATGATGGGTAGGGTATGGCACGGGTTCCATGCTGCATCTGCGCTACTTGCGGTGCTGAGGTCCTCTTGGGCGCGGAGGGAGATTTCTGACCCTTTCATTCCTCCTAGGAACTATCCCTCCCCGGTCCCCCCCTTTTTTTATTCTTTTTTTTGTTTTTATTTTATTTTCTTTTTTTTTCTTAAAAACAAAAAGAAAGAAGTAACCTAACCATAGCAGCCCTAGTCCATGAACCTGCTACCCCCGGGCCCCTTCTTGATACCGCACCCCGTTCTGACCCTGCCTCGTCTTTGGACCACTCTTTGGACACTCCTCATGCCTCTGTACCTCTTGCCGGTGCTGTTTCCTCACCCGCTTCAGGTACTGAGGCCTCGACTGACTCCTTCGATTTATCTGACCTTCGCTCTCCTCTGACTATGCTTCCGGCCTCTCCCTCTACGGTGCGGCAATTTTTGAATCGCCGGCCCGTTCCACGTCGGACCAACTGGTCCCACGCCTAAACGACAACGACAATTACCTGCTGATGATACTTCTCCACCTTCTCGTTCTTCTCAGAAAAGATCGACACGTCCTTCACTACCTTTCCACGCTCAGTTTCAGACTGCACAATGGACTAAATTCTTCACTTTACGACCGACTTCCTCTACTACCTATCTTTCTGACCACAGTATTGGCAAGGCACTCCTACGCCATGTTGGTAAAGATATTTCTTTTCATGCTCTTAAGAACGGTATGCGCATCGTCACCGTACAGAATGCTACCCAGGCTCATGAGCTTTCTCGTCTTTCCCATATCGATACTGTTCCTGTAACTATTGAAAAGCATCATTCCCTCAATTCTTGTAGTGGTACCGTCATTCTGCCCCATACCATAGTTCAACAAAATTTCCAGACATGTGGCACTGACATTCTTGAACAGCTGGAACTCCAAGATCTCCCAATCCTCAAGGTAGACACTTACGTTCTTCCTGCCCGCGGGCGGAGACAATACCCTAGCAATGTGGCTCATTTAACTTTTGACAGCTGTGAACTCCCATCCTCAGTTTATGTAGCAGGACATCGGTTACAGGTTCGAAAGGTGATCCCTACACCGCAACAGTGTAGAAATTGCTGGCGATTTGGCCATCCAGCGAAATATTGCAGATCTATCGCCGAATGCCCAGTCTGTGGTGCCGATGACCATTCTAATACGTCTTGCAATCGACCTCCCTCTTGCCTTAATTGTCATGAGGTTCACCCTTCGTACTCTCGCCGTTGTCAAGTCTACTTAAACGAGCGGGAAATCCGTTACCTCAAAGAGGCAGAAGGTCTCCCTTATGCCATGGCAGTTTCTCATCTCCGCCTCCAAGGGAGACTACCTCGTGTTTCTTATTCCCGTGTTTCAAAACGTCCCCCCACTTCTGGTATCCCATCTTCTGCACCCACCTTTGTGGTTACCTCTCCCATAGTCACTCCTGTAGCTAATTCTTTTGCTGTCCTCGGCTCAGACGTCCCTACTTCAACGTCTCAGTCTGATCTTGCTTCTTCGTGTTCTCTCTCACAAGCCTCAGTAACGACGAGATCTCGTATGACACCTCCTCCCAATCGTCCCTCTACTTCTCAAAAGTCAAAAAAAGGTCCGTTAACACCTCCTACCCATCTTCCACCTCATTTTCCCTTCCCTGTCTCTGTACCTGGTTCTCCCCCTCTCACTGGCTCTGTTACAAGTGTAGAGGTTCACCCTCCTCCTCTAGTACTGTACCTTCCTCCCCTGTTCCCTCCCAAGTTTCTTCCTCTTCGGCCACCTCCCAGGTTTCTGCCTCTTCTGTCCCATTCCACGCTTCTCCAGTTCCCTCCACCCTTCCGTCCCCCCCTACCTTGGTACAGTCCATTACAGTTCCAATCTTTACTCATCCTCCCCCTACCATTTCCAATATTGTCTCCCATACCACGTCTCTGAATTCTGAAACACTTGAAGCAATCTCTGAATATATTGCAGAGACCAAACCATCAATGGACACTGATCCACCCTCCGCTCCTTCTCTCTCCTCTACTCCATCTGCGCAACTCCTTTCTTCACAGCGCACCGTTCCTTCGCTGCTTGAACGTTTTCCACTGCCTTCGCATGTGGACTTTTCTAACCCCTCTAGTCCGTAGGAACCCTTACCTGTGGATTTCAAGTACCTTTATCATTGCCAATCATGGCCTATTTACAGTGGAATATACGCGGCCTCAGGGGTAATCGGGGTGACCCTTCAGATGTTACTCTCCCAGTTTTCCCCTGTTGGTTTTTGCTTACGGGAACCAAAATTACACTCTGCTGTTATCCCCCTCCCATCTCAGGCTATAATTTATTGTATTTTTCAGATCCTTTTCCTGATGGACCTTTAATGAAAGTGCCCTTCTTCTACGCACTGATATCCATCCCATCAGCTATTTGTTCGTACTTCGCTGCATTACACAGCAGCCCGTATCCACTTGCATGGGTGGTATACGCTCTGTTCTTTATCTCTCTCCTTCTCGGGCATTATCTATTCCGGATATTGCCTTTCTTGTTTCGTCATTACCACCACCGATTCTGTTACTTGGTGA